TAATGGATGACATTCAAGAAAGAAAAATAACTAACATATAAAGCAGAGGCTCTAATGTGAGCTTTTAAGAAATAAAAAATAAGGCTTCAAAGAAATATCAGTATTTTAAACATTATAAAAGAGTATTGAAAAATACTGTTATATAAAATTTTCACAGTATCTGTATAATAATAATAGTGACAAAACTAATAATAATACAAGAGACAATAAGCACCAGGCAACACCACAAAAATTTTAGAATAGAGAAAATATTTAGGTGAGCAACATATTTTTGAAAGTTAAAAAGACATCACTAGCATAAAGGAAATTAGTAGATGCAGTCAGGGAACAGAACATTATGTCTTACTATTTCCTCAGCTGAATTAAAACAATCTTTAAAATGTTTAGAGTTTAGCCACCTCATTTTAGTTGAAAAAAGATACTTTAAAAGTGTAAATATTTACTATTTCAGCTATTTTTTTTCTCTAAAATACACAGGTTTGGCAATGATGTTTTCAAGTAATATTAAATGTGTGTAATTTAAATAAGTCAAAATGAATAAGAAGTCCTCAATAGGAACAATAAAACAAACATTTTTTAACATATAGAGAGGTTTCTCTAAAGCGAAGTAAAGCCTCATTACTATATGTTCCTCCTTTCTTTTCTTTTCTGTAAAGGTCATTTATTTTTCCCCTGGGGAAAATATATATATAGCTCAGGTTTTATATAGCTCAGGCTAGTTTTGAACTGGGATCCTCCCAAATGCTGTGATTACAATTCCGTACCACCAAACACAGATTCTTTTTCTAAACTTTCTTTTTATTTATTCTTTGTGCCTTTCACATCATGCCTCCTGATTCCACCCATCCTCCCCCACACCACCAATAAAACTAAATAAAATTTAAGATACCATAGGAAAGAATAAGGAATAAAGGGAAAATCTCATCATCATGGAAGCTGTAGTGTGACACAGTGAGTCACATAATAAACCCCTTTATCCATACATTTTTCCATGCAGGTGTGGGGAAGCCCCTGGTCTCTACTATGCCATCAACACTGGAACTCTTCTTGAACATCCTGTTGCTGCACTGTGTCGTGGAGATCCTGCAGCAGCTGGATCTGCAGGACCGCCACCCCCTCCCAGGCTAAAGCAGATCATGGATGAAGTGGATATTGGGACTGGTCAACACATAACCCTGGTTCTGGGCCTGGGTAGTTAGTTGCAGGGTTTGAATGCTTGCCAAATCTACCGTTTTTACCACCAGGTAAAGCTCTCTAGCAAGACCCTGGCTAGTTGACCCCTTGCCGCAATGAGCATGGGGCATGGCCATTTCTCCTGCTTTCACATCCTCAAGGTCCATTCTTCCACACCTACACTTTCAGGGCCAGCTCTACTGCGCTGCCCAGGTGAAGTGTAAGGGTCATTCTCCTGAGCGCTACAGTTGATGAGGAGTAGGGACAGCCCTCCTACTCTTATGACCTCAGGGCCAGCTCTTCCACCTGCCTGAGGCATTGATGGGTATGCGCCTGGGGGTGAGGGGTGAGGCCATCTCTCTTCTGTCCACTCCACTGCATTGCAAATGAGTAGTGGGGTCAGCTCTCCCACACCCACAAATGTGGGGCTGCCTCACCCACACCTCTGCACACAGGATTGTCTCTATTGTACCAGCCAGGCAAGGTACAGCACCTGCTCTCCCTAGTGCTGCAGCTGGTGAGGGGTCAAACCTAGTTTCTTCTAGATATTACCAAACTTTTTCAGGCTTTAATAGTTTAAGTCTGAAAATCAGGGGGAATAAAAAGCTACGGAAGTAAATTAAATAATTAATAATATTTAAAATAAATGTAAACTCTTTTATAAAACAGATTAAGTATAAATAAATACAGAGCCATTACCTGCTATTAGAATGGGCAAGCACTTATGCCTCTACAAACCTGTTATGAGTACTTTCATGGTGTCTATTTGATGGAGAGCTCCAGAAAACAATGTGGTGTCATTTACTGAAACCTTCTATGAGAAAAGCACTTCACAAGCATCAGTCTAAAACTAGAAGCCACCAAACAACATATTTTAACCAATGCTGAGTGAGACTGTCATTATACATTGTCAGAAAATATTCACTTAACCACAACCAATACATGAATGAAGTATTATGATTTAAAAGTGCTTGCAAGCCAGAAAGAAACGATTAACAGTTAAAATTTTTACTTTTTTTTTCTGCTGTACTGTCAGTACCTGGCTCATAACGAAGCCTCAAAATACAGCTCTTTGATTTGTAATGAAATTTGCATAGTTCCTAAAAAGCACCTTAGGATCTAGGGAAGTATCAATGACTATGATGATAATGACACTCCTAAATAGGTGGGACAAATAAAGCGCAAATCATCCGAGGTTTCTTGTGACAGTGGACATAACCAGGCTCCAAATGCTGATGAGAACATATAGAATGATAATCTTCACATCGTGTAAAAATGAACAGTGAAACAAAGGAAGCGAAACAACAATATACATGAAGGCTTTCCATAGTTATACAAACATAAACTTTTTCTACTTCTCTAATTTTTGATTCACAATTTAGTAAAAAGCTATGAAATATATATTTATCAATAGCAATTGTTCTTAAATCTAATCCCTTGTCTCCAAATTTTCTAACATAATTTTCAGGGTATTTCCCTTAAAGTGTATCCACAGTAAATCATTAATGGGGGATGTGGGTAGGTAAATGCCAGAAGCTCTGTCAAGTGTTTTCCATTATTGCTCTGGGTCTTATCTATTTAAAGACAGGACCTCTCACTGAACCTGCAGCTCAATGGTTTCACAAGACTAGCTATAGCAACGAGTTTCAGCGACTTCTCTTCACCTGGCCAGCACTAGTATTCCAGGCAATGATCCACATCTGATTTTTTACTAGGTCCTGGGAAATCCCAACTCAACTTCATTAAAAGACCAACAAATATCATTCAATACATATACATGCATAAAGATTGCTTCTTTTAGCACATTACTGTTGTAAATGCTATTTTCTTACCACTTCTTTAACTTAATTTTGAGATATAAAAGACTTGCATGTTATCAGATATTGCTAAGAAAATTCATTATTATTGTATCACATCTTATAACATGTATCAAATTTATGTAATAATTCCATCATTGGATTTGATAATATTCTTATAATCAGAACAAACACAATGAAAACATTCTTATAAATTTTTATATCTTATACACTCCAAGAAAATGTCTGGTAGGAAGATTATTTGCCACATATTAAAAAAATTTAAACCTACAAATATTTTTGCATCATATTTGTTATTTTCAGCATTTACTTTGGTGTTTATCCAGTATTTACCTTTTTGTGGAAGCTGTTTTGTAAACATTAATATTTTGCTCACAAACATTATAATAGATACATGTATACTTATCTTATACTTCACCAAATGCACATATTGAAATAAAATGTGAAGTACAATAATAAAAACAAGCATCCACACTTACCTGTATTATTAGCTCTTTTATGTTACAAGATACAAAGCATTGCTAACATATAATCAAACTCCTGCATTGCTTCTCTTTCTATTACTCTGCTGATGTAATTGCTTTATTTCCTAGTGTTTTGCGTTGGAATGCACTTCATACATACGAGTAAAATATGAGTTTATTAAAACTTTGTATCTTTTAGAAATGATGAAAATTTCAAGAATGAACTAGGGATAGAAGTTTTTAGAGTTTCAAATCAATGAAAGGTTTTCCCTGTTCCTTTTAGTCTCTCAAGTTCATTGCTATGTTTCAGGGAAACTATAAAATCCAGGTATTTTCATCAGCAAGGTGCAAATAGGAGATTTAAAATACCTCAATAAACTAAAACAATATTCTGTTATTAATGAAAGAAGACATTACTAATTGGAACAATTTAATTCCTTTGTATGTATTATTCAAATTGTTCAATCAAAAATTCTTAAATATAAAAATACATAAAAATTTGAACTACATACTGAACTGTATTATTCAAAAATTAAATAGTAAATATTACTGCTTAATGAGTCTCTTTAAGAGTTAGGCTACTTAGTTTCATTAAATCATTACTATGTCATTATAGCCCCAAAAATATTTAATTATTTCTGTAGAACATTTAGAAAGTTAAGATGCATATATTTCAAATAAATCTTCTGGTACTGTCCTAGCAATTAGTGTAGTTTATAAAACATAATTATAACCTGAAATTAATCACTAAGTAATTTCATAAAATAAACAATTGTTGAACACGTCATCTATAAAATACTTCTAAATGTTATCTGTCATTTTACAAATTTCACTTTCTTAACAAAGAAAAGTAGTGCAAGAAGAAAAAGCTACAATGACTACACAGATGGAGATCGCTGACTTCAGGATCCAGTCGCATATCTCTAACATGTAAATATGCTTGAAAATTTTCTCCATGCAATGACCTGTGCATGAGAAGGACAGTTTCCAAAATCTAAGGCAGTTCTGTACAACATTAAAATGTGGCAACCTTTCACTTTAATCTCAGGGAAAACATTATCTCTGTCATCATCTACACCATCAGATGTTAACCTATTAGCTGTATAAAACAGGTTTTGTTTTTTTTTTTTTTAAAAAATCAAACGTAGGTTTCCACTGGTAATGAATATAGTGCTATCTAATACAAAGGAGAAGTATTTCCTCTCCAAGAGCTAAAACAATAAGCGGTATTTGAACTGCTGGTTGAAAGGTAGAGGCACTGGTAGTCATTATTTCCCCTTGTTTGTTCAGGCCCTTCCAACAAAACAAACAACCTTTTTGTGATTGGATTGACAAGGTGTTAACAATGCATTTAATGCCCAAATCAGTGTGAATACAGGTAAAGCCCTCGCTAATACCAGTACCAGGATGTTAAAGCCACCTATTTTCTAAGCAGCCAAAGGGAAAAAAAGCTTCCCCTCCCTTGGCAAACAAGGCAATGAGCTAGTATCCAGCAGCACACATTCTCCAGTCACCCTCCAGCTTCACATGAACACCCATCTCCTACCTGCTGTCCGCTCAGCGATTTCAGCCTCGGCGGCTTTCTCCTGGAGTTCCAACCTGAGTTCTAATTTTCTCTTTTCTTTATCTTCTTTAGTCAATTTTTCTTGGAGCTAAAACAAATTTAAAAGATTATTCTTATCTGATAAAAGCCTTCTATATATAATTAATTCCAAAGTAAGATTTTGTTGTTCTTAAATTCTTATATAATATTATATTTAATTACTTAAATACACACTGAATCTGAGGGGAAAATATTAAGGTTGCCATATACTCATTAAGTAATGACTACCTCAAATGATATAAAAAATGGAAAAATTATAATTCACATATTTGTAGATGTGCATATAGACATAAAACAGGAACAACAGGTATCACTAAAAATATCTACTGCAGAAGCTGCTTCATTCATTCCTTTGTCTTAAAGCAAAGGATTCTAAATGGCTCTACCGATCCTTAAATTACTGGCAGCAGGTTTATGCTTCTCTTAGTAAGTCCAATGTTTTGAAAAAAAATCAATTGAGAAAATAATCTCAATATCTGATACATACCTGACTGTCAGTACTATCTCATCATATTTCATTTAATTGAAACTGTCACCTGACTAAAAGTTGGCATGTAATAAGTTCTAAATCAAACTGTAGAAAATATCTCACGCTTATACAGAATGCTTTTCATTTTCTTTTCCCATTGTTCCCCAGACTTTTGTCATTTGTGTTGCTTTCCCTCAGAAACAAGATTCATGCTTCAGTCTGATTAGGTCAAAAAAATGAAAACATTAAAATCAGAAAACTATACAGAACTTTTAAGAGAATCCATAAAAACTTAACATTAGTTAATAAAATTTTTGCAGGCCAGAGGGATGTTGAGGAAGAACCAGAGGAAACAAAACATGACATGTATGTTGAGCTGGATGCATGCAACAGTATAATAAGATACAAGACAAATAACATCATTTGCAACTTTGACATTTGGTTACATATATCACTGAAGTGAAAGAATGCATAGATACTAAGAAAAATGAAGAAAAATGAACAAAGTAGCATGAAAATAGCTGATAATATAACCCACATTCCATAACGTTGAAGTAAAATTTTACTACAGTGAAATTTGAATATTTACTTTGTAGTAACAAATTACCAGAGATTTGTGGAAAATGAGTGGTATTACAAAAGCAAAAAAAAGCTTATTTTCATAGTCAGTCACTTAACTGAACCACACCTGGATGGCAAGACAACACAAACCTACTGTTGAGGCATTAAAACACAAAATAAAATCGAATAATAATGAACAATAGTGAAAACTGAAATAGTCAACAGCTAAGACATTTTTTGTAGCAATTAGACTTTTTATATCTCTATACCTTTTTATTACTTGTTCTGAGAATTTCCAATTCTTTTTGAAGATATGCTACTGATGTCTCTTTATTTAAGTCTGGTATAACTCGAGAAGTCTCAGATTCATAATTCATATCACTCTTTCCATATTCCATAATACTACAATAAAAGAAAATTATTAATAATTTACATATAGGATTTCACAAATGTCATTAATTCTTATTAACAATAAAGATGTAGTTTAAGTTTAAACTTTTTATGTAGTTAAAAGCATGAAGGTTATAAAATAATAAATACATCAACTTACAGATATACCAATTTCTCAGTGGAGAAAATTAAGTTTGTGGACAGCACATAGTGATCCCAAAGAGAATCTGGTAAAGTATACTTGACAAAAGGGTTCAGGTTTTAGAAGCTATAAATGTTTTGATTTGTGGTTCCGGTTAGGATCAACTTATATTTTTTTGCTTTCCTGAAAATGGAAACAATCGTTTCCCAATTTTATTAAAATAGTAACATATTCAAATTTTAATTATTAAATTAAAATTAATTTTAATTAAAATTAAAGAAGACATTAAAATTAATACCTGTTCCCCAAAAACTTCACGGTAAATATATTCTACAAGACAGTTGATAATGATACCTGAAAGCAGGTAGCATAAAGAAGAGAAGAGAATAAGATGAATTGTTTTCTGGTGTTATGGTATTAAGTATGTAAACTCCGATGGGTGTTAAATGTCACCTAAGCCAGTCTTTGGCACGGAGTCCTGGGACAGTCTGTGAGTGAAGGGCTATTACCATGCTCTAATAATGAATTATACTACAGACCTCACAGCACGAACACAAGCTCTAAAGTTTATCTTTCTTACATGATTACAAAAATGTGTAACCATTATTCCATCATCCTTGTCTCTATACCTTAAAAATATACACCCAATTGTATTAAAGTAAGAATGTGACACTAAGGGAGAAGAATACCAATACAGTTATTGATTTTACTGTGTATTGATATCAAAGAATATATCTTACTGAGTAATTTTGAACAGAATAGCAACCCCACAAAAAAACTTTTAAAATAGTGCTCTAGAAAAAATGAAAACAGAATTATGCTGTCATGTTCAAATCTAGTGCTATCTTTACTGCACATGATCAATTATCAAAGTAGCATAATCCCACTGATAATAAACACAGGTATCAGAGACTCAAATTTCTTCACAGTGGATGATTTAATGCTGCGGAATGTAAAGTAATAAGAAAGGCCAAAGGTAGATGGAGTAAAGGGTAACTCTAAAAGTATTCAAATTATACCAATCAAAAAACAGAGAGCAATGCAAAAAAAAAATCTTTGAACAGATTTGGTGAATGATATCTCATATCAGTTCCACAAATACCCTTATACCCATAAGGAAGAATCACAGAAATAATATCGAGGAAGAATCACACTTCATTGCTGTCTTTAAACGTGTCTTGTGCTGTTGTTCTCAACTCTCTAGACACATTATATCCATATCGTGGAAGAAATAGAAAGCCCTTGTAGGGTCCTAAAATTGTTTGTAAGTCACTGACACATTAAATTTATCTCACGCGGAAATGAAGAAGAGGGACAACGTATTAAAGAAATGTTCCAACTCTTAGCTTTTAGATTAAACACTGAAATCAACACGCACCTGCACTCTGTAAATGGCCCTTCATCTGGATAAGGTCCCATAGCCTGTGTATTCCTGGAGTTCCTCGCTGGTGGCTCCAGGTCCTCAGATGTGACTTCATTGCCTAATTCATGCATATTTTGCTCAGAATTCATAGTCAGCTGCTTATCTACAGAAGCACTCTCACTTCTCACTGAAGTATCTTGTGTAAGACAAATGGCTATATCTGCACAAAAACAAAAGTGTATGATACATAAAAGGACATAGCCACATATGAAAAATGTTGAACTAATGAACACTCACATAGCTTTTACCATGATTACTAGTCTTATTCTGCTGAAGTTGATTAAGTGTGTGCAGGCCAGCATTTGTCATCCAAGTCTTCACTTCCCTGAACAGAAGCCGTTTAGAGCAATAGCTTACAAAACAGGCTACACACTGAGACCTTGGCAGAGCAGGCCAAGCCTGTGTAACTGAATTGTAGTCTCTGGGACCGGGATCAGCTCCTGTTGTTTTACATTGCCGAGATGACTACAGTTGCTGTGAGAGCACTGGTTTTAAACATGCTATTCTCAGAGTAGCGAACAAAAAGAATATGACTATAATGAATAAATACTGTAAAATGGAACTGTGGTTTGGAATGCCTGGGGAAAATTATAGCCTTAATATGTGTATAATATTGTACTAGCTATTTAATACAACACTTTCCTGCCTGTAAAATGTAAATAAAATATCATTGACTTAACTAAGGACCTGACGTACCAATGAATATGATTTATTCAGTAACATCATCATATTAAAATGGATGTAAGAATACTTTTAACATTAATATCATCATATACATATAAAGTAAAATATACTTTGTATACTTTTTGGCTTTTTTCTTTATAATTTTATTTAAATAGCATGCTTTTTCATTTACTTTACATACCAACCACTTTCCCCTCCTTCCTCTCTTTCTATCCCTTCCCCCTCTTTATCTACCCCTTCCCTATCCTCTCCTCCTTCATCTCCATTCAGAAAGCAGCAGACCTTCTATGGCCTTGCATATAAAGCATGGCATATCAAGCTGGGGCAGGACCAAGCTCCTCCCCTTACCTTGAGGTTCTCTAACATGGGGAACAGGTTACCAAAAGCCAGCTAAGCACCAGGGAGAGGTCCTGCTCTCACTGGTAGAAGACTTACTAAAAGACCAAGTTACATGACTGTCACACAGGTATGGAGAGTGCCTATGTCAGTTCCATGTAGGCTCCCTAACTGTTGGTCCAGCATCCATGAGCTCCAGTGAGCTCAGGCACAGAAGCCTACTTTCTGAACATAACACCAGCAGCACAGACACTGAGACGGACAATTAATAAATGGGACTTCCTGAAACTGAAAAGCTTCCGTACTAAGACAAAATGGCAGCCTATATACAGAGTGGGAGTAGATCCTCACCAACTCCGTATCTGACAGATGACTGCTCTCCAAAATATATAAACAACTCAAGAAGCTAAACATCAAAATACCAAACTATTCAATTAAAAAATGGGTTGCAGATATAAATAGAGAATTCTCAATAGAAGAATCTCAAATGGCTGAAAAACTCTTGAAGAACTTTTCAACATCCTTAGCCATCAGAGAAATGCAAATCAAAACAACTCTGAGATACTATTTTACACCCGTCAGAATGGCTAAGATCGAAATTGCTGATGACAGTTTATGTTGGAGAGGATGTTGGAGAGATGTGGAACACTTCTCCATTGCTGGTGGGAATGTAAACTTCTAAGGCCCTCTTGGAAATCATTTTCATAGAGTCTTGGGAATCAATCTACCTCAACAACCACCTATGTCATTTTGGGCATATACCCAAAGGATGAGCAATCATACCACAAGGACACTAGCTCAACTTTGTATGCTTAATTATATAACAAAATTATTTAAATTGCATCCACTAAGCAATATTTATTTTAAGGAGATAAACTATATTAAATGGCATAGTAAAGTTTCAGAAAAAAAATCATATATACAAAATCAACTGTTATTCCTAAGATTTATAGGTACAACTATTGGTTGTAACATGAACTTCATTAACTCCAGAAGAAATAATTCTTCAGCCTTAAAAAATAGTCTTGATGATGCACTATGAAACCTGCCAACACAAAATACTTTTGAGGCACAAAAGTAATGTTAAAATAAAAGGAAATTAGTATACAAAAAAGAGAGTAAGTCACAAAACTTTATTCGATTTTTTTGTTTGTATTAACTGTAGGCAATAAAAACTTCAAGCCCAAATACTTCATATTGATAAATTTTGATTTCTCTTTTTTGAGGAAAAGAATTTTAAGAGAGAAATGTTGTATCATAACTGCATACTATAAAATAACCATGACATTTCAACATATTATCCTGGGGTTTTTTTTTTGCTTTTTTTATTGATTTTTATTGAGCTCTACATTTTTCTCTGCTGCCCTCCCTGCCTCTCCCCTCCCCTTCAACCTTCCCCCAAGGTCTCCAACGAAAACTCTTCCATGATTTGTTTTACATGTTCATTCACCATTCTGCTTGGTGTCCTCACCAATACCTGGCATAACAATGGAGTCCTCAACCTCTAAGTAAGAGCATTGCAGGGACGCTAAGGAGACATTCAATCTGTAGTTTATCATGAATATGTAACTCAAATAAAAAGTAGTTACTTACTAAAATAATTATATGAGTAATAAAAACTGCATTCAAAGTCATTTCATTAAAAGTAACTCTGGTGTCTGTTGTTATGTCCCCATTTTCATTTCTGATTTTGTTAATTTGGATGTTCTCTCTCTGCCTTTTGGTTAGTTTGGATAAGGGTTTGTCTATCTTGTTGATTATCTCAAAGAACCAGTTCTTTGCTTTCTTAATCCTTTGAATTGTTTTCTTTATTTCTATTTTATTGATTTAGCCCTAAGTTTGATTATTTCCTGTCTTCTACTCCTCCTGGGTGAGTCTGCTTCTTCTTGTTCCAGGGCTTTCAGACATACTGTTAAGTCGCTTATGTCAGATTTCTTCACTTTCTTTATGTAGGCACTTAGTGCTATAAACTTTCTTCTTAGCACTGCTTTCTTAGTGTCCCACAGATTTGACTATGTTCTGCATTCATTTTCATTTAATTCTAGGAAGTTTTTAATTTCTTTATTTCTTCCTTGACCCAAGGGTGACTCAACTAAGCATCGTTCAATTTCCATGAGTTTGTAGGCTTTCTGCAATTAGTGTTGTTGTTGAATTTTAACTTTAAAGCATGGTGATCCATTAAGATACAGGGGGCTGTTCCATATTTTCTTTTTTTGTATCTGTTGAGGTTTGCTTTGTAGTCAAGTATGTGATCAATTTTAGAGAAGGTTTCATGAGGTGTTGAGAAGGTATATATATTCTTTTGTGTTTGAGTGAAATGTTCTATAAATGTCTGCTAAGTCCATTTGAGTCATGACATCTGTTAGTTCTCTTACTTCTCTGTTAAGTCTGGCAGTGCTGCCCATTGGTGACAGTGGCATGCTGAAGTCTCCTACTATTAGTATGTGGGGTTTGGTGTGCAATTTAAGCTTTAGAAATGTTTCTTTTACATATGTGGATGCTCTTGTTTGTGGGGCAACCCACAGAAACAGCTGACCTGGGCTAGTAGGAGCTCATTGACTACTGACTGGCAGTGGGGGAATCTGCATAGGACCGAACTAGGCCCTATGAATGTGGGTGACATATGTGGCTGGAGGAGTCTGTGCTGTCATTGGCAGTGGAACCAGGATTTATCCCCAGTGCTTGAACTGGCTTTTTGGGACTCATTCTCTTTGAAGGGATGCCTTGATAAACCTGGATATAAGGGGGAGGACCTTGGTACTGCCTCAAAGTGATATGTCAGACTTTGTTGACTCCCCATGGGAAGCCTTACTCTCCCTGAAGAGTTGATTGGGGGGGGGCAAGGAGCATGGAAGGTGGGAGGAGCAAGAGGACAGTCAAGAGAGAGTGAACTCGGTTGGTATGTAAAATGAGAAAAGATTTGTCTTAAAAGATAAAAAGAAAAACTAATAATTGGATGAGCTATTTTACACTGCAAAAAATGTTTGAGATACAGCAAGAACAGGAATAAAATTATAATTGTAAAGTTTAAGAAAAAATAACTTCAGAGTCTATGCTGTTCTGCTGTTTATAAGAAACAAAGAGTCTGTACAAGGGGCAGAATAATCCAGGAGTTTGCGGTTACAAAGGCACTCATATTCCTATGAGAGAACACACCAGCTGTGTTAGATTCTTAAGCTCCGGCCCGTTAAAACCAATTATCCCACTATTTACAACTTTGTTCAGTTATCTACATATATATTTCTATGTCTAATTTAGCCTCTTTCTCCATCCAAAGTTTTATTCCTAAAGTTCTGTTTTTGTTCTAGATGTTTCATTGTTTTTTTAGCCCTACCTCTGATAGCTTGTTGCTATTTGCCATGACAGTTATAACTTTTCTACTGGTTTAACCTATCAAATTATAAGAACCCTTGAAATCTTCATAGATCACCAACATTTCACTATGACCATCCTCCATTCCAAACTTCTAGAAGAGATATAGAAGCTTCCAAACAAGAGTGCATTTGGTTTCCTCCCAGATCTTAGTCATTATATTTGGAGCAATAGTAAAATAAATGCATAGACTTCTGACACTTTTTAATTCTTTAAAAAAATATTTTATTTTGTGTGTGTATGTGTGTGTTATCTGTATCTGTGATCTGTGTATCACTTGTATGCCCATGAAAGTAAGAAGAGGGTGACAGATGCAATGAGACAGAAGATGAAAGTAGTGAACCACCATGTATGTGCTGGGAATTGAACCCTGGTACTCTGGAAGGGCAACCATCCAGCTCCCAGTTCTAAGACTTCTTGGTTTTAATTTTAAAATGTTTCAAAATGCTAATAGCTTAGAGACCATGGCAGAAGGTATGATAGACAGTGAATTTCAGATAAGCCTGGGCTCCAGAGTGAGCTCATGTACTAACAATATCCCTCTCCCTCCAAAAACCACTCTTGAAAGTTAATATTTGAAACCTTTAATATATATATAAGGAGCCCATACTGTGTGGTTTAGCTCTTTTTCTAATTTTGTTCAGTCATAAAACCTTTTAGATTCCTAATTTGAACTGTTCATCTGACATTTGGAGTCTGCTCTGCAAATCAAACTATCTATACTCTTTTATTGAGAATTTAATTTTACTTCAGAGTAAACAAGGTTGA